AGCCACGTCATCGCCCATTGCACCAGCTTCGCAAATTCGAGTTACAACTTCAAAAATTCATAACTTTCGCATACGAACTCTGTTTTCGACGTTCTTAATATCCTTGCGAAGGTGGAAACACACTCTACAACTTTTGTTTAGACTCCGTCGGCTAATTTTGACTCGATTTTAAATTTTATATTATTAATAGGCTGGGACAGGATTGGTCCGTTAAATCCTCATAACTTCTTCATCCGACATCCGTTTTCGTCCATCTTTTTCTCGTTATGCTACTTTTAACGAGATCTTCGACTCTTGTTTAGGTTGTGTTGGCTAAAAATCGCTCGATCTAATATTCGAATTTCGGGCTGTACACTGCTAATCCAAAACTTCGAAAAATCATAACTTCTTCATACGAAGTCAGATTTGGGCGTTCTTTTTATCGATGCTCTTAGTTTAACATATTCTACGACTTTCGTTTAGATCACTAACCTCCATCATAAATTTACTATTTACACTTCCCGGTGCCGTGCCGGTTCCGTCGCAAAACTTCGATGGGTCATAACTTCTTCGTTATAACGCGGATTTCAGCGTTCTTTATATGTATGGAAACCTTGTGACATATACTACAACTTGGTTCAAATTATTTATTCTAAATAATCTTTTGTCGAAAAGTCGTTTTCGACCCCTATTGCCTCTAAATTGACAAGCCCGGATCTACAGGCGTTACAGACTTCTTCATTGTTAGACCCAAAACCAAATTCAAGAGTAGCTATTTTGAAATTCGTTCAACACCAAAAAAATTGAATCGATTGCAATACCCAATTACAATCAAAGAACCACCCTTCATAGTCAAATTCGAACAACCTGATGTGATGGACCAAAATCAATTTTTGACTCCAAAAAGTCAACTTCCATATACTCCAAAACTGCATTTGATTCGAGTCAACATTAATCGATACCAAGAAATCATCTTCGTTTTTTCAATCAAATTTCGACATTGAACCAAAATCAGCCTTTGACTCACAATCCTTCGATTTCCAGTACATGTGCCAATTTCAAAGCATTTACAGTATTTGCTTTCAATCAAACATGTCGACTATCAATGCCAAAATCAGTCTTTGACTTTTATCCACCCCAATTTACTCGACTTTTGACTATCAAAACGTGGTAACACCCTTCTAAAGTGCAATTCCATACCAATATAGTCAACAATAACAATCAATTTCGGTTTTCGATTTTGACTTGAAGATTCGAACTCATACTCCATCTACTTTCGATTTCAATGCAAACATCAAATTCGACATCATCAATCCAAAATCAAACCAAATACGATTTCAATTTCACAACTGTGACTTCGATTTCTATTACCGAACATCATCAACACTCAAATCGAACAATTTGTTTGACTTTTCGTTCATTTGGTGATAAACAACAAATCGACAACTTTTCAGAGCAATTTCAGATCAAACACATTATTCCAACTGTTCTTCATGGTCGTTCATACTGTTCTATGTCAATTCCATCCAAATCCAAGAATCAATTTTAACTATTTCTCTAGGTCAACTTGATCATTATCGATTAACTCCAGTGGATTCACAAGTTTAGAGCAACGAATAAAATCAATCGATATGAACAAGATTTCAAAAACGAAAACAAAAAGATTGATACTAGATAATCAGAATGTGTTCGTGAGGTCTAAAGCGATGAAGAACGAAATGCGATACTTGTGAGTTTCACGATTTTTTATTTCAACAAGTTAAGGTATTGGATCAAATGTTATATGGGCTAAACAAAAATAATAGAAACCGGAATATTTTGCAATTCATTTGAGCATTGAGATACCTTTTGATGATCTGAGTTCCGTTTTCAACAAACAAATCAAATTTAGTAGATCTTGGTTCTTTTGTTGGAACGAGAATATCTCCAATTTGAACATTGTACCACCCATTATGCGTGATGTACAACTCGTTCTACGTGCTCTTCAATGATCCAAGAACATCTTCAAAAGAACCACCAACACTTTGGGTTTTGACTTCAAATTCAATGCAACCTTTGGAAATTGTTGCTTTGGAACCCAAATTTGCTTCACGGATTTCGACTTCACAACATTTGACGATTTTTGTGAGTAAACCCATTTGTTTTTGCGTTTAATCTTCTTTTTCTTTTTCTTTCTCATCTTTTTGCATCTTGAAGACTTGATTTCATGAAAAAACCCACTTTCCACAACTTCAAATTTTTAGGTTCGAATCAAATTTTTTGGAGTTTGATACTTGTGAATTTCTTGGATCACCGGCTTTTGATAAGGAATCATTCCTTCAAATGAATCACAAGAACACAAAATATCATCGGTTTGAACTCCAATCGAGCAAAAAACTTTTTCATCTTCATGAGAATCAACTTGAATCTTCTTATCATGAACTTCAAGAACATCAAGAACACGATGATCATCATCAAGAACATGTTCCCGAGCTTCACGATAATTTGCATAAAATTCAAGTTTATTGCTTCCATATTTACATTCAACAAGAGGAATTCATTTTATGACTTCACCTTCTTTCCTATTTCTTTGTCTCTCTTGATACGTTGTAACCAAACGATCAAACAAATCATTGGTTTGATGAATTGGACAATTAATCAATTCACCAAATTCATTTTTTTCTCCATTTACAACGAGTTCATCTTCACTTTTCAATCCAACAGTCAACCAATAAAGAAGAGATTCAAAAATGTAAACACCTTGAAAAGTTTTATTATGTATCAACCATTTCTCCATAATTGCTTCTTTCCTTTCGAATCAAATGATATGAACTTGGGTTTTCTAGAGAAAGAAAGTAAAAATCACTTGAATTCTAATGAAGAAAATTGAATTATGAATAGAATCAAAGACGAATTCGATTTCTAGAATCTAAAAACTCTCTAAATCACGAAGATCAAAGATCAAAAAATGAATCACCAAATCTAGATTGCCACCATGGATCAATTCTTGATCAAATCAAGAACACCCGCTTTGATGCCTATTGTAGTGGTGTTGATTATGATGGTATGTGCGGAATAAGAAAAGATCTAGTAAATCATCATACAAACTCAAGAACACAATGAGTAAATAAATCTTTTAAGCTCTTATTAGTTAAATTAGAAAGAGTACAAATGGGTTTGTAAGTTTCTCTCTCTAAAATTAATGCTCTCCAAAACAAGATCATTCATAATGGGAGTCACTCACTTCCTATTTATAGGAAAGACTCAATCCATTTACACATACAAGAGGGTAAGCCTAACACTCTATATCCAAACGTGACTTTGCACCTTAACAGTATTCTTCAAAAAAGAGAAGAATATTAGAGTTACCTTGTTGTGAAGAATCATAAATGTGAAATGTATCTTTCAAGCAAGATTTGCCAAAGACCAAATATCGAAGACTTATCTACTATAGTTATCTATTTAGAACATGTCATCATTTTAATATATCTTTTAATCATGTGTAACATTTTTGTGGTTGTCTAAATGTTGAAGTCTACACATGTATTTTGTGATCAGTCGATGGCACTTGGCATGTTGCCTATAAATAGTGTTGTATGTTAGAGTGTCACTAATGCTTTCCGCATACACTCAATTTTACTCTCTCAATTCACTATGTAATCTAACCTACTTCTTGATCAATCATTGAACTTAAAAGAATTATTTACACGATGAGTTCTTGCATTTTATTCCATTTGATTCGTTTTATTGATTTCATAACTCATCAAAATGAACATCTAAATATTCTAATCCAAATGAGTTTACTTTGAACAGAGGAAAGCGGAAAAGATTGACACCAACCTTTAACACATCTTCAAAATAGTCAAATTCATTAGGAGTTCTATCATGTAGAGTTTTAAAATCATAGACAAGGAATTGACCAATTAACTTCAATCCAAAACCATGAAAATCAGACGACTTTATGTGCCAAAATCTTCCATCTCATGAAACATATATGTTTTAAGCTATTAATAAATGCAAGCATGCTCCCAGATCCAAGATTTGTCAAAAATAAAATTCCTATTAACAACTCCTAGACAACATTTGAATGATAAAAATAATCCCTAATTACAAAATTAATCATATCTTAACATTATTCGGTTCGTTGTCTTCCTATTCTACCCATACGAGGATAACGTGTACTCAGATGACCCTCTAAGAATTGCTCGTTCATCATCTAGATCATAATCTAGACTACTAAAACATTTTAGAATGCATAATCATAAAGCATACCTCATTCTCTTCGGATCAGTTACCTCTTAAGATAGTCAATTCTTTTTTCCTAATGGACATATGAACTCTTTGGAGTCTTTTATTAGATGAACACATGAGCTCATTTTTTGAACTTTTAAAAGAGTCAAATATATAAGAGAAATTAAATATCATCCTACTTTTGTTCCTACAAATCATCCTATCCAATTAAATGATGACATGTGTTATCATTTCATACTAAAATATCATTAAATGAGCATTAAATATTACACATGTCACTAATTAATTAGGTAGGAAGATTTGTAAAAACAATAAGTAGGAGGATATTTAATTTCTCAATATATAATAAACATACACAAGTGATTAAATCTGGACAAAAATAAAATAAAATAAAATAAGTGATTAAACGTGTGCAAAATAAAACATAAATAATTAAGTATGTATACAAATAAAATATCATTATTGACCCGAAAACATATATCAGCCGGTCAATAATTGCATTTCGTTAAAAATACAAAAAAAAAAAATTAATGGTTGTATAAAAAGTTTACCAAAACAAAACTTTCTTACCGTTGTTCAAATATGACAAAATTGCAAAAATGATCCCTGTGGTATGTATTTTTTTTTTTTTTTTTGGGTTTTGGTCCAAACCACGGGTTTTTTGGATTTGTGGCCCTTTTGGGCTAGTTTCATTATAAAACTGGTCCCTAATAAACTTGAAAAGACGACTTTGCCCTTTTAATTTGTTTTTTCCATTTACTTAGTTATTTTTTTCTGTTATTTAAATATAAATGTTAAATCAAATCAAGAATGGGACCCACCTGCCCTTTCTCTCTCTCTGCAAAAAACCCACTTCCCCACCATTGGCCACCATTTGGCAACCAACAACCATAACCTCCTTTCCTGTTCAGATAACCAACCACCACCACCTTTTATGTTGCAAGGAAGGCTGGAAAACCGCCATCCACCACCTTCATCGGCGAGAAAACCACCCAAAACCACCGCCAATGTTGATTCCGACCACCACCGAGTTCCCCCTCCTCCCCCACTTGTGTCTCCATCCAATTAAAACAGAAGAGAAGCGACAGAAGGCTGTCAGAGCAGTTCCCTGTCGCACGCCACCGCAAATCGCTGCCATTCGTTGCTGTTGCCGCCGACAACCACTGTTGTCCGCTGCTGCTGCCGTTGCTGGTAAGCCATCCATCCCCTCATTCCGTGTAGATTGGTTGTTTCCCCTTGATCCGTTTCATCAGTCGAATCGAGGTACGAAGGTCTCGATTTTTTTTCTTGTGTGTTGAAGACGGGTCTTTAAATCATGAGTTGGAGAATGGTGGTGCAGGTAAGGAAGAAACAGAGAGAATAGTCGAGAATGGTGGTGCAGGTAAGGAAGAAGAAGAAGAAGAAGGGGTGGGGAAGTGGGTTTTTTTCAGAGAGAGAGAGAGAGAGAGAGAGAGAGAGAGAGAGAGAGAGAGAGAGAGAGAGAGGAGAGAGAGAGAGAGGTCTCATTCTTGATTTGATTTAACATTTATATTTAAATAAAAGAACAAATAATTAAGTAAATGGAAAAAACAAATTAAAAGGGCAAAGTCGTTTTTTCAAATTTATCGGGAACCACTTTTACAATGAAACTAGCTCAAAAGAACCACGAATTCAAAAAAACTCGTTGTTTGGACCAAAACCCCAAAAAAAATACATACCACAGGGACCATTTTTGCAATTTTATTTATTGTTCTTTTTTTCACACAACCCTTAAAATTAAACCAATTCGATTTACGCCTTTCTGAGTCTATCTGTACAGTGTACACTCAGTTACTTGAATCGGGACAGCATGGCCCACACTCGCAGTAAGCCAAATGTGGGCAAAACTCTATAACCACCTCAAACTTCGCTCGCTTTGTCTTTATCGAACACCGATATATGTTAGACCCCGACGAATCCCATCATTTTCCCGCCGGCGCCACCGCGGTTGACTCGTCGTCAAACTTTCCGATGGATACCGACGGACGTCATCAGCAGCTAATCAACCTTTCCAAGCTACAATCGCGAATGGACCACGTTCAACGCTTCCTCTCCGATTCACTCAACACCAATACCATCATCGGAGAATCGCAGATGGAGATTGTCTCCAAGGAGATCACTTCCACCATCAACCAAGTAATCGTCAATGGAGCCGCCCTCCTTTCCTGCACCGGACTCCCAAAATCAAAATCAGAAACCCCCAATCTTTCCGTACGGACGACAAGTTTGACTTTTGATTCGAAACACTCACCGGAATCCGATTTGATTCTGAATCATTTGAAGCACGATGTTGATTTAGGGGTTCCGAAAACCGAGGTTTTCGGTGAAGAAATTAGAGACGACGATTGGGATATTGTGGAGCTTGATGCTGTGGAGCTCCTAGCAGAACACTTACATTTCTGTGAATTATGCGGTAAGGGTTTCAAACGAGATGCGAATCTTCGAATGCACATGAGAGCTCATGGCAACAAGTTCAAAACCCTAGAGGCGCTTTCGAAGCCTGAGAAATCAGGACTGTCTTCTTCTTCTGAGTTGACTCGTGGTGGTAGAACGCGGTTTTCGTGCCCATTTGCTGGTTGTACCCGAAACAAGCTGCACAAAAAGTTCAGACCTTTGAAATCTGTGATCTGTGTGAAGAATCACTTCAAGAGAAGTCATTGCCCCAAGATGTATTCCTGCAATCGATGCCATAAGAAGAACTTTTCTGTGCTTGCTGATCTGAAAAGCCATTTGAAGCATTGTGGGGAGACAAAATGGAAGTGCTCATGTGGGACAAGTTTTTCAAGAAAGGATAAGTTGTTTGGGCACATGGCTCTCTTTGAGGGACACATGCCTGCCATGCCGGAAGAGTTGGTGGTGGAGGAGGATGAGAAAGCAAAAGGGGTGGCACCGGCACCGGCACCAGCACCAGCACCAGCACTGGCGGCAGTGGTGGTGGAAGATGCAGAAGGTGGTGGTGGATGTAAGGTTGTGAAGGGGATGGATTGGATCGATAACACCATGGATGATGGTTTTTTCGATGGATTGGGTTCACTTGATGATGACTTTTGCATGCAGGAGCTTCTTGTTTCTTCTAATGGATGTTTCGATTGGAATTTGTAGGTCTTTTGATCAGATCAGGTATATGTTCTAAAATTGCCTTCATGTTGTATAATATGAATATTCTCCTTGGTTTAAATTGGAATAAAGTGATGTTATTTATGTTGCTTTTTGGTGCTTCTCCACTCTTGTTACGTGATTTATATAATTTCAATTTGTGGCGTTAGTAATCAGAATATTTTGTCTGGATCTGTTTGATGTTTGGCTTTATATGGAATGCAAAGCACATCTATTTCCCCCTCTAAATTCATGCTTGGTTTCTAAGATGCATACCTTAGATCAAAAAATCATTTTTTTCCAAGTTAAAAGAGTTGATTTTGAGCAGAAACAAATATGCTCCAATCTAAAAGAACTAGAACCTGTAGAAGTTTTGTCTGGATCTGTTTGATGTTTGGCTTTATAGTTCATTGTTGCTCCAGTTTCATGAGCAATAATTAAGGACAAAACCAACACCAAAAATTCATTTGTAATGACTCATAGATGTCAAACCACAACACCAAAATCCGTATAATTTTAATGGATCTATCTGAATGCTTGTTGTGTCGATCTTTATATATGTATCCTTTTGTTGGGTCTTCGATCTTCATAGCAAAATTTACATGTCATATGATAAAATTATGTACTCTAGATCTTGAAGCACAACAAAGATATAAATGTATATAGGATAACTGATCATCAAAGTTATTCTACATCGTGTATAAATGATCATGAATGAACTTTTTGGTGGGTTGATGATATGTGAACGAATGGTCATGTTAGAGGAGATTTACTTAGATAAGAGAAAACAAAACATTTATTACCATAGATGATAACCACAATTAGTTGGGGAGTTGATAAATAATAAAATTAAACTTACTTTGACATGTTGATTTAAGTGGTGGATTTAAAAAAAAAAAAAATTAAACTGTTTTTTGAAATAATCTTTGGTTTGAAAAACTACCTTTATATTGTATGTATATTTTTATTTAAATGGTGTAAACTATAAACTATTTAGCTGCCGGGGGATATTGTAGGTTGCGCATAATACATTAATTCAATTAGTATATTGACAAATATATGTTATTATTGTTCTTATTAAGTTTGACATAATAATTAATACACTAAAATGTTATAAATGCATTTTGATTATATTAAATAAAAAATAAAATTATGATCAAAGTTAGGGATGTCAAAAACCCCTGTGGAACCCTGATCCCGTACGGGATTAAATTTTTTAAAAAACCGGAAGCGAGGGTAAAATTAAACCCCGCTTATTTTCGGGATCGGGGTCGGGAGTTGGTATTTCCGTCCCGTACTCCTGCGGGGGTTCCGGTTGTACATTTATGTAAAAATATATATATTTAATATAAAATACATATACAAAATAGATTTTCTAATTATAGGTTTAGGTTAGGTTTTACTTTCCCGTTTTCAATTAATGGATATTGAAGAGGTAGTGAATTGATCATATAATTTTGGACAGGTAAGTATTTTATATTTATAATATTAGATTTGTCGTATTTTATATTTATAAGATTGTTAGAATTGTCATTTTGTAATGTTAGATTCGTAATGTTGGATTTTTAATTTTTTAGTTTCTAAAAGATTAGGTTTTAAGCTTTTAAAGTTGTTAAAAACAGTTTTTTTAACCTAAACCAAAATAGTTGTTTAGCAAAAAAAATCAAATTTTAAGCCTATAAACCGGGGGAATGGGGGCGGGACCGGGAGCGATGGAGGTAACCGGGGGCGGGACCGGGAGCGGGGGCACTAACTGATTTCGGGGGCGGGAGCAGGGGCAACTATTTCTACTCCCATTTGGTCCCATTGATATCCCTAATCAAAATATCAAACAAATAACGGACACCTAGATAATCCTCAACTATAAAAAAAAATGACAAAAGAACCAACATTTATTATTAAAAAAGGTTCTTCTCACTATACCCCAACAAACTTATATATGATAGTTTAAATGGTCAATCGTGAGTATTTTTTGCATTTTAAGAGCATGTACTTCGGTTTTACCGATTGAAAATGTCATTTTACCTATTTTAGCAAGTTTTTCTTCCTAGTCCCTTGCAAAGTAAGTAGGTGAGTGAACTCATTGAGTCAATACTGAGTTGACTTGATAACACACATGCATAGATTAATTACCGCCTTTAATTTCTACCAACATCCCACCAACCCTTACAGTCGATTGACTTGGTGGATTTGGTCTGCGTAATAAATGGGGACAACCCATGTAGGGTTTGATGTAAAACAACCTTGAAACTTGTTTACAATTTTCGGCCAAACACTCATCAAAAAGAACCCTTAAAAAGCAATAATATCGGGTCCACCACCTCCACCGACTCTTTAAATTCTTGTGAAGACATCAACTACAATGCGTTCCATTCAATCTTTTGTGAATGTAGTCATAAGATTGTAGATAACCAATCTGAAATGCAATGCTTGAAGGACCGACTCGGACAGGACTATATCGTGTGCAGGATCGACCATATCAGTCTCAAGTACAAGCTGGATAACCATGATTAGAAGTTTAAAGTTGTTGGTGTTACGATGGGTGGCATGATGGTGGGGATGCTCGTATTGCTGGTAGTTGTGCTCTATTTCGTTGTTAAGCTTGGGTGATGGGTGGATTTGAAGCAATGGTGGTTACGAAGCATATTAGTCTGTAGATTTTTTTTTTTTTATAATAGTTTTTTTTTTGGCGATATATGTAAAAGACTTGTCTACATGACAAGCATTTTGTAAGTGAACTCCAATGATTTTTTAATTTTTATCTTTAAATTACGTATGATTCTATTTTTTTGTTCATTGTGTTTGATCATATTTTCTATTTTTTATCTAGAAAAAAGTTCCGTTGAAAGTGCATTAGAAATGAGAAGAAGGAAAAAGTGGGGATGTTAGTGACCCCACGTGCCTTGCATATTAGGGGTAATTTAATCTTTTCCGCGTACTAACAATCAGTTAAAAGTTTCTTCTATACTTACTTGTTTCATTCTCGAACATTGTTTTCTTCTTTAAATACTCTCCACTATGAAGCTACATAATAAAGAACATGGAATGTAGATGTGGAAGTGCAACGATAATACAAACAACATGTACTACCAATAACCCAAGAAGACCCTTTTATGCATGTCCCAAGAAAGTAATTTACCTTTCGTTAATTTTGTGATGTTAACCCCAGTTTTCTTAACATGTACTAATTCAAGGAAATAATTGGAATTAGGATGCTCGTCCAGGTTTTATAGCTTGGGTTGATGAAATCTAGTGCAATAATGAAGGAGTGATCATAATTGGGTTGTTTAGGTTGAACAAAAATCTTCAAACTGAGGTCTTTAAGTTGAAGGTGTACCTAATATGTAGTTGGGTTTTTTTTTTGTGTTTAATTATGTACAAGTTGTAATCAATGTCATTTGGGTTAAATCATGAACAACAGGCAATGTACTTTGTTTTGGTTTGTATGTTTAACATGAATGGTTGTGTTAATTTGGTTATTGTATTACATTAAACTTAATATCTTAATTGGTCTAGTGGCCATTGATGTTACCATACATCTTATATAAGGACAACAAGGAAATTATTGGACTGCATGTGTTAACTGATCTTACAAGGACCAAATGTTCCTTTATAACCTAACAAAATTAACATTGATTCCTAGAACTATTAACCCCAAGTTCCCTTAAGTAACATGCACCATGCACGATCAAGAAAACAAGTACATATCTTTCTTAAACAAACTAAGTTTCTCAAACAACATAAGTAGTGCAAATCATTCACAAACAAATAAACAAGTACATATGTTTCTCAAAGAAACAAAGTTAGTACAAATCCAAACAAATCAACTTAGTACAACCCAATTCCAAACATATCAACTAAGTCCAACCAAGCACAAACATAACAAGTTCAAGGATAACATATCCTACTCATTAAGGTCCAATGGGTTTGCAATAATATCTCATTTCCCATCTTTGCCCTTAACCTTCTTATCAAGTTTCATTTTGATGATTCTCTCTGATCTCTTTCTTTTACACGCACCCATTATTTTTTCTCCATTTTACCCTTTAGGCACTTATTTTGATCCACTGCTTCCTGCACTAACTCCTTGTGCTCCTTCACCATTTTCATTAACAATTGTTTTCCTTTTTTCACATTTAGTTTTGGCCTCCTTCCAACTTGAGGTTTTCTCACTTGAGGTATTTCATCGTGGGCCACTACAAAAGGAACTGCCCGAAGGCAGGGAATACTGGTAGAGTGGGAAGAGTTTTGGCTATAGGCCACGAGCAAGCGGTTGCCGACCCTATAGTGGTCATTGGTACGTTTATCCTCGATAAATCTTATGCATGCATACTATTTGATAGTGGAGCATAGAGAAGTTTCGTAAATCAGAAATTTGCTCGCCTACTTAAACAACAACCTCGCACACTTAAAGAAGCATTCACTGTAGAAATGGATAACGGGATAACGGAGATCACTAGCAATATATACATAGGATGTACCCTAACTCTAGATAACCATACCTTCTTAATCAACCTCATGCTTATCTCAATTAAAAGTTTCAACGTCATAATCGACATGGATTGGTTGAGTCTTCATCGTGCCGACATCATGTGTTACGAGAAAGATGTTTGTCTTAATCTTCCGTCTAACAAAACTCTTATTATCTACGGCGACAAACCCGACACGAGCCTTCATATCATCTCAAGTATTCAAGCTCGGAAGTACTTGCGTAAGCAATATCGTGCATTCCTTGCTCACGTTGTCGATATGAGCCTAGAAACGAAAGACCTGAATAGCATTCCGATAGTGCGCGACTTTCTTGACATCTTTCCAGAAGAACTACCAGGATTACCTCTGCAACGACAAGTCAAGTTCAAAATCGATTTAGTCCCAGGAGCTACCCCAGTAGCCAAATTTCCCTATCGATTAGCACCAACTGAGATGCAAGAACTATCTGGTCAACTTAACGATTTTCTTAGCAAGGGCTTCATCAGACCTAGCTTCTCACCATGGGGAGCACAGTC